GAAGAAAGAAACAAACAAACAACAAGGCTCCAGGCAATGGCAGTTGGAAACTTCCTTATTTTGACCATGAGAGTTAGTTCATGAAAAGGGGAAAGAATTGAAATGAGACTCTCTCATGGACTATAGGACTGATGGGCAGAGTTGCAAAGAAAAGATGATTTGAAACAATGATTTATGATCTGAATATCTTGTAACCAGTCACGCCAAAAATCTTGTATCATTGGCCATACTTCTTTTGTAATTATTCGAAGTAGACCTTTTGATCATTCTAACCATTGCTTTACTCCAATGAAATAAATCTTTGCTATCGTTTTGTTTGCACTTTACTCTAGCCTTGCCTTTTTATTAAGTATTGGAAATGCTAGTTAGACATGAGGCTCTATTTCAGTTAATATAATTGCTTATCTAATCAAAATCTCTTGATGAATTTGAAAGGTTCGATGAGAATTACAGGGAGAAAAGAAACTGAATTCAATAGCCAAGGAGTCATCCATGCTAGTTGAAGCTCTAAGAGCAAATGAAAGTTCAACCCATTGGGACAATATTTTCAAATATCTCTTTATGAGAAACAAATGCGATTCTATCTCTGGCATTCAATAGAGTATTCATGAATATGAATCTACAGAGCTGCTACATAGAGATGATCACAAGTTGATGAATGTGCAACATAAAGCACATTTGACTCTCGCCAAATTTGGACTTCCAACATGTTCAGGGAAGTTTCTTAACCTCTTTTCATTTTCACCTTATCTTATATGTTAAAATTGTCTCATTTACATCTGTTCCATTGTCACCATATTTTTCACACATTGCTTTTATGCACTCCTTAAACCATTTAATATAACCTCATTCGGTCATCTGACCGTTGCGGTTAAAAAAACCATTTTTTGCTTGGTTAAAAAACCATTTCTTTATTGGTTAAAAAATCGTTTTTTGCTCGATTAAAAAAATCATTTTTTGTTTGGTTAGAAAAACCATTTCTTACGTGGTTAAAAAAACCGTTTCTTCTTTGGTTAAAAAACATGTTTCTTGCTCAGTTAAAAAATCATTTCTTGCTTGATTAAAAAAAAATTGTTTCACTCGGTTAAAAAACTATTGCTTGCTCGGTTAAAAAATCGTTTCTTACTTGGTTAAAAAACCATTTCTTACTTGGTTAAAAAACCGTTTCTTTCTCGGTTAAAAAACCATTTCTTTCTCGGTTAAAAAACCGTTTCTTTCTCGGTTAAAAAACCATTTCTT